AAGGGGACCCGTCGGTCTAATCAGTCAGAGTCTGACAAGGGGACCCGTCGGTCTACTCAGTCAGAGCCTGACAAGGGTCCCAGTCGGTCTACTCAATCAGAGCCTGACAAGGGGAACAGTCGGTCTACTCAGTCAGCGCCTGACGAGGGGCCCAGTCGGTCAACTCAGTCAGATCCTGACAAAGGAATCAGTCAGTCTACTCAGTCAGAGCCTGACGAAGGGGACCCGTCGGTCTACTAAGTCAGAGCCTGACAAGGGCACCAGTCGGTCTGCTCAGTCAGAGCCTGACAAAGGGGACCCGTCGGTCTATTCAGTCAGAGCCTAACAAGGGGAAGAGTCGGTCGGGGGAGTCAGAGCCTGACGAGGGGACCAGTGGGTCAACTCAGTCAGAGCCGGACAAGGGGACCCGTCGGTCTTCAAACATCTCGACACGTTTAATATGTACATTGTTTGTGTGAAAAAGTAAAACTTTGGTATCATAAAAATTATACTTTGCATTTTTGATTAAAAACCAATTATTACTTGTTGCAATTGACATCTGAATCAAATCATTCCCATAAACCTTTGATCACAATGCGTGTATCGTGCTTTATCCTTTGATGTACCTAACTAACGGACAACTGTACCAGTCGGTCTACTCAGTCATAGCCTGACTAGGGGACCCGTCGGTCAACTCAGTCAGGGCCTGACTAGGGGAACCGTCGGTATACTCAGTCAGAGCCTGACAAAGGAATCAGTCAGTCTACTCAGTCAGAGCCTGTCAAAGGGGACCCGTCGGTCTACTCGGTCAGAGCCTGACGAGGGGTCCAGTCGGTCAACTCAGTCAGATCCTGACAAAGGAATCAGTCAGTCTACTCAGTCAGAGCCTGACAAGGGTCCCAGTCGGTCTACTCAATCAGAGCCTGACAAGGGGACCTGTCGATCTACTCAGTCAGAGCCTGACACGGGGAAGAGTCGGTCTACTCAGTCAGCGCCTGACGAGGGGCCCAGTCGGTCAACTCAGTCAGATCCTGACAAAGGAATCAGTCAGTCTACTCAGTCAGAGCCTGTCAAAGGGGACCCGTCGGTCTAATCAGTCAGAGTCTGACAAGGGGCCCCGTCGATCTACTCAGTCAGAGCCTGTCAAAGGGGACCCGTCGGTCCAATCAGTCAGAGTCTGACAAGGGGCCCCGTCGATCTACTCAGTCAGAGCCTGACGAAGGGGACCCGTCGGTCTAATCAGTCAGAGCCTGACAAGGGAACCAGTCGGTCTACTCAGTCAGACCCTGACAAGGGTACCAGTCGGTCTACTCAATCAGAGCCTGACAAGGGGCCCCGTCGGTCTACTCAGTCAGGGCCTGACAAGGGGACCAGTCGGTCAACTCAGTCAGAGCCTGACAAGGGGACCCGTCGGTCTTCAAACATTTCGACACGTTTAATATGTACATTGTTTGTGTGAAAAAGTAAAACTTTGGTATCATAAAAATTATACTTTGCATTTTCGATTAAAAACCAATTATTACTTGTTGCAATTGACATCTGAATCAAATCATTCGCATAAACCTTTGATCACAATGCGTGTATCGTGCTTTATCCTTTGATGTACCTAACTAACGGACAACTGTACATTCTATCACAATGCGTGTATCGTGCTTTATCCTTTGATGTACCTAACTAACGGACAACTGTACATTCGATCACAATGCGTGCATCGTGTTTTATCCTTTGATGTACCTAACTAACGGACAACTGTACATTCTATCACAATGCGTGTATCGTGCTTTATCCTTTGATGCACCTAACTAACGGACACCTGTACATTCGTTATGAAGGTTTCCAAAGTGTATTTAACCATGTTCACCACAAAACCTGTTCGTTCATATTTGTGTAATCAAATTTTCTACTGTAGTTCATTTAGAAATGCCCACTAAAACGTCATGGACACTGAATAAACGTATTTACCTTTGACGCCATTTCGTGAGTCGTCACACGCACACACGGGATTCCCGCCTAGGTTACATTGTGACGTCAAATCATGCATAATGCTGGCAGAATAGATGGCGTGAACAAATGATGTCTCCCGATTGGCTACAACGAAAAGAACGTGTTACAAACTAGTTAGTAATTTATAAATGCTATTCTTTAAAAACAAATACATTACCATTTTTGTACATAAACAAAATCAGACGGAGATACAAAACACTTAATTAACCATCATACACTGAGGATAATTCCAGTCGATGTTGTAAATTATAATATAAACTTCAGAAACTTCCGGCAGACATTAATGCACTTTTGAATGAAAACACTACACTGTAAACAGAAAAGTTAATTATGGCAATAAACTATTTTTAAAATAATACACACGCGATATGGTGCTGCATAAAAGTTGCACTGTTTAACAAAGAGTCCTGTCCAACTTGTGTTCATATTGATATGGAAAAATGAATACACGTCCAAAAACTGAACAACAGGATAAACGAGCGTATCAACACATGGCTGCCTAGGAGATAATTCTCGTATACCTGTTTAGAACCTATTTTCCGATGTTTCGAAAACGTCATCAATCATTTTCGACAGGGGATGATATCATTCATGGCTGGAGGCTATAACGACGACTAGTATAGGACACATTGACGGGTAAAATATAGCAATATACACACAACCTAATGAGATCTGGAATACCCGGCTTGTGTCACAAGCATATTGTGACAGGATGTGAAAATGTTGAACGAAACTTTGGTTAGGTAGCTATTATTACCAATGGCCATGGCTCTGTCGCTAGCAATGGCGATTGTGTTTTGTCTGCTGGTGGTGAAATGTACACCTTCAATGGGCGAAGACCAGGCAAAGTCCATAAGACGTAAGTTGTTTACCTCAAATAGTCATAATGCTATTTATATCTTAGATGTACTATCAGTATTTCGATAACTGTAGATTTTTCACTCTCATGATCAATTTTTATTTAAAGTTCTGTTTCCTCTTAATACCACTTTATCAACATGGTAATCATAAACATACTATTAATGAAAGGATTCCAATAATGTACACGGAAACAGAAAGAGAAAGATCGTGACCCGCAGTCACGTGTTTACCTATCAGGTGGTCATAGAAACGACGGAGAACGTGTTGAAATAAAATTATCATGAATCTTATTTGTTTCCGTACATATGATATATACATGCACATACATATTATATCATATTATATATCACATTATATACAGACTATATTAAATGAATATATAATACGTGGATCTATATAACAAATGATACTGTTTCGATAACATCTAAACTTTAATTCCTTATACTTTATCTCTACATGTTGAAGAGATGGCAAACTAAATGTATAGTTACAAACTTATTATGATAGCCAAATATTTTACTTATATGTAATTACCACACATCATGTTAAGCATTATCGAACACTTTATTCAACTGCTTTTTGACGATAGCTGGTACATGCCACCCAACATATTTTTACAACATGTGTGATATTTCTTTCCAGATGATGTCGACGTGTATAGAAAACACGTCAGTATGACGTTTGAACAGAACCCGGACACAGTATTAGACGCTCTTGTGGCACAAGAACAACGGAGAAAGACTGGAAAACAGCTAAAACCTAGGGGCAGACCGCGACCCAATGTCAGGTCACAGAGAGTGGTAATAGATCAGTATGGCCGCCATTTTGTTTGGGACGAACGACATGGTCGTATACCTGTTATGCCGTTGCCATGGGACTACCCAGTAATGTGGTTTGACGGACCAGAAGGGCCCTTTGCTGTACCTATGGGAATGGAACCTGTATACCCGCCTATGGAACGGGTTTTCTTGGTCAATCCTACACCAGATTCGTGCGACCCTTTGAGAAGCACATCTTCTATACAAGAGCAAAACAATCCAATGATGTCCTTCTACGAACCATGTAAGACATATATGTATATCTTTCTTACGATTTTAGCAAATGGTTATCAATATCATTGCTGCCTTTACATGATAGATATCTATCATAGATAAAGGGCACTTTTGATTTATGCAAAATTCTTCCAGACATCGCGCTAGAGAGCAATGTATTGTTTTAAGATTACTGAACAATATGTGCACAGCAATATTCAACTGGTAACTTAACCAAAAAACTTTTTTCCTGTATTGTTAAATTACATTCGATTACCGCTTTATTATTATTTATTCAGCCAATAAGGGAAATTTATTTATTTATTTTATTGTTGTTTCACTTTCATGTTTTTGTTTTTTTCGTTTTGTTTTTGCTTTTTATTGTATAACACGTGTAAATATATAAGGCTTTACAATGGTTGAAGTGAATCATTTGTGTTTGCAAGACATTCACCAAAAATACTTCATTGCCCTTCCAGCCTCTGACCCGTGTACCGGGAAGCGCCATTCTGAGTTCGCAGTAACAGCAACATCAGGAATGGCTGACATCCTGTGCATGCTTTGTCAATATCTGAAGAGTAAGCGATGTGTCTGGCAGTTCTGTGTTCATCCTGAAGGAGTTTACAGGATCAACATAAGCGAGCATCTCAAAACCTGATCTCCAAGGTTCGCTATTAATATATAGTTTCTATTAATTTAAATATGACGTATTCTGACGTGTGGATTATGAAAACAGATTATCATATGGAAATATTTTTTGAAGAATGGACACTTAATATGGACAGAAATTAACCTTTATTTTATCACTTTAATACTTTTTAGTAAAATCTTTTGAATGCAATTTTGCCGAGAAAAAATTATTAAACTACCATTATTGATCAATACTTTCTATTTTCTCCATTTCTGCAAAACCTTAACCCGTCCCAGTGGTTCAAAACGTGTTCATTCAACAATGAAAGAGACTACGAACTTACAGTCGCCGGTATGAATATCGATCACAGGGGTGTGTCATTTCCATTTTCAAAACGCCATAGTTTCTCTGAATATCTTGTCAAAGGATATTTGATAGATTCCTACCTAATCGGACATCCGTTGTCAGTTTAATGCAACCGGCTGAAATACTGTTCTGGGTGCCTTCGACATGGTATTTTAGCGAGACAGGACTCTAAAATATAGGCATCAGTTCTGCGCTGTGGCAAGGAGGCAAATACACCAATATACCACCTTTAGCACACATGTATCAATTACACACCTGGAGACGTGTTAATATGACGCTAAACCCAATGAACTAAACCAATCATGATATGACCTTATGTTACTCTAAGCCCGTGTATAGTATTAAATATGAATAATACAAGATAGGCAGCAAGTTCGTGTTATATATCATTTGACAGTACAACCAGAATTTTAAGTTTAATATTCAATATCGCCCTACGTAAACTCATAGTCGTGACTCTTAAATAACAACAAATAAATAAGACATTCTCCATACGAGCAATACCATAAGGAAAATGTAAAATAACTTGCCGTTCGGAAATATACATAATGTTAATGAAATGCTGTATCATTAGCACGTATTGCCTTTAAAACTAATTTGAAAACATTCCAAATGAAGCTCACTTGAAGTTTCGTCCAGGCAAAAGTTATTGTATTCTTCATTCAGTTCGTCACTCTCCTTGACCATGAGTTATATACGTTTTTTCTAGCCGTGAAAAGAGATTTGGAGCTTGTTTTCTTGTTACAATATTTGCTTTGTTTGTTGATGACCGGGTCACCGTCCAGAGACAATATTGGATGCTATCCAATATCTCCTTAAAAACGATTTGCTTTTGTTACGTAAATTATTTCCTTCAATATCCTCGGTCGCCTGCGAGTTCTAATGTGTTTGATAACGTCTGAGTAGGCGTTGGTTCAACTCTCGCCCTGTGGGATGGGGGTGGGGTGCGGGGTTGGGGGTAGGGGGGTTCTAATGTTTGACTACTAAACATTATTCAAAACAATACATAGAAGACACATACGGGAAGTCACCACTGCTTTTGATGGAATCATTAGTCATTTTATAGAAATGTTTTGATATGCTCCACTCTTTTTCTAAAAAATAACATTTTTATGGATAAAGTTCCTAAATATTATATTACCTCTGATGTTGTGTATCTGTCGATTCATATCAACAATGGGACAGTTCCATCTGTCCCACTTAAACTGGTGTCGGCACTCTTTCGCTGCCCTCATAGATCCCCGGTCCATGCTTTTCATAAACATTGTATGCACCTGTGAATTAGAGAATGGTGTTTACTATTTGTTATTATACCAATATAGTAATTATGAATTACCCAAGAGTGACAAAAATAAGTTGAAATATTGAAAAACACGATTGTTGTAAAATTAATATAATATATATATATACTTAGCAACAAGTATTACGTATCAGTATAGCTATCTCCTGTGATTTGTGGAATCCAAACCATTGTTAATACAATACGGAAAAAGGAAGAAAAAATCAATAACATGAATGTACGGAGACTTTTAACCTACCCATTGTTGTACAACGAAAATAGATTACAATATACTGTTGCATACTTGCTCCATTAAAGTGCATCACTGGCATGCTAACAATGCCAGAGCACGTAATAGCGAGTTCACGTACTGATAAGCTTTCTGTGCTTCATATAATGCTGTATCATATTGTAAACATGAGGATACATGTCTCTATTGATCGGTGTAAAGTTTACGGAAGTTCACATGATTTATTTTTCACATTTGTGTTGTTTTATTATCTATGTTTAACATGATGTAATTTGTTCTCAGTTGACATGTAAACAACATTGTTTACATGTCATTTGATACCTTATCATCGTTGTTGATAGAATCCTTAGATAACAAACTGACATCAGATCATCTATACATTTTGGTTTGGAGGTTTTGTGTGGGTTTACGGAGTCCACATAAAGATACAATAGTTTCCTTTCATTTGATATTAACAGTAAATGGACAACGCATTTTACATTTTATGACAACGCAAAATTGATAGAATGAAATGTTCACTCATTCGAAAGTGTAGTTTTTGTTGTATTGTATTCATGTCTGTGTGCTTTATCTCAGTATCTTCATTACAATCTTTGAAAGGTCTACCACAAGCACGTCTAAAGAGAATATCCAAATCTTTTCTTATTACCTTTATTTGCTTTCGGTGAGTGAAATAGGACACGTTCATATGAGTTATTTGAAGCTTATATTCGCACTTGTGGTCATCTATTAATTACCAGGAGTGTGAACTCCATTGTTCCATTGATATTTCTGTGGTAACTTCTAACAAAGGATAAGATTCATACACTGATAATCACCGCACCTAGACAAATAGCTGATCGATTTGAATTGAAACAATTAATCTACAACCTTGTTTTACAATGTTTGAAATTCCTCAAGTTAGACAACATGTCTTGAATATAGATAAACGATTACGTAAGAATTAAACTTTATTGTCCGTGTGATCAGGCCCAACCTATTGGGTATTTTTCTGTCTCGGGATGCCGTTGGTCATGTCATTAATTGACTTATGTGACGGATTGAGTTTAAAATAACGAGATCTAAATCTACAACAAAGGTCAGAGGTTGCATAACTTAACTGTAATGTTATCGTCTTCTATGGTTTTGTTTTGTCCATATAGAGGTCAAAGGTTGGACAGATAGGTATATAATGATATTCTATACATCGTTTGTGCTGAATTTTTTTCTTGACATTAAAATATGTCGAATTTGGAACCCCATGAGTTCTGTGAATCATTGTCTCTCACAGATAAGCCACTAGTGTAAATACGCTCTTTAACTCGATTTTTGAAGAACCATCACGAAAAACATTAAAACTCTCGTATAAAATCTGGTCAGTTTAATACACTGAAAAGCATTGGGTAACGACTACAAGCTTAGCGTGTGGATTTATAATCTAATTACAAGCTAATGAGTGGCTGCACGCGCATTTTGTATTCAACACATCTAAGTATCGATATCGTATTGCAATTGTCTGGGTCATGAATGGCTCAGAGGGGGATCATGTTTTCATTCATCAGTTTCCATAAAAGGGTAATTGTACGGGTTGTTACGGGATTTAGATAACGATAGAGTCAATTGCGAGAGCGGGTCATCACCCACAAAACGCGCGTGCATTTGGGACAATTACATTTGTTACCATATTTGGTCAAATCTGTGTTAAAATATATTAACATATTTAACCCGAGTCTTCGTATTTCAATTAATCAGGCTGATGCTCGTTTACTACTTATGCGTATATCTTCTTACGTGATAAATGTATTTTGTCAACTTAGTTCTGCACCCTGATGTTGTAACGACCGCAACAATATCTCAGTTCGATTACACGATCAACAACAATGAACAATCGTATCTGGCTATTTTGAAAATTTTATATAAAAATGTAAATGTTCTATATGATTAGGTTACATTATAGATTACATGGAGATTATATAAATGACAGTGATTATAATCTCGATCCGCAAGTTGTAATGTAAAAACCTGCTTTAAGTACAGTCAGACGTAGGTAACGATTCCAACAATGTGCTGTAAATCTAAGAACGGCCAAGCCTATATCACAACCACATCAACTGGTTATTTATTTGAGTCATGTAAACTCTGAATCATTTAAACATTCCGCTTTTATATATATTAATAATTTTGTCAAAAGTGTATTTGTTATCCATCATTTAGAATTCCTCAAACGCAATGGCGGTAAATGAGTTTCTATGAGTAACCAAACATACGCCAACGAAAACAAGTCCTTTTTAGACGTCCTTGGGGTGTTATATTCCATAACTACTACAAAATCTGTTTTTAATCGTTTCATATTGTTTCTAACCATCTCAGCGTAAGGAAAATAAAATAAAATAAACACACGTCGTTGTCCGACGCAAAGCTTGTCTACAGTATTGGCAATCACATTGAGCTTAAATGGTAGCTTTATTTTCCCCATTGTACGTAAACATTGTTGTCGCTAACGGCAATTCAGGGAACTCTTCATAATGTTTAGTAAAATAATTCATTTCGTTCATGTAGCAAACAAAATCCCGTAAAATGAATATCATGTAATGAGATTGACGTCAGATGTAACGTTAAAATCATGCGTCAGCCTCAAAAACAAGTTTTTCTTGTTATTGCATACAAAAACTATGCTTTCATGGAATAACAATATGGTTATATCGCAGACGATGTGGTCGTTCTCTTAATATGGTAAAATGAAAGTAATGCTTACACTTGTCATTAACATGAGCATCGAGACACTTAACTTAAATCGCCTATAAGTTCCGTCTGGAACAAATTTACTAAATCAGCGCGACCAGTCAAAATAAATCGTCAGAAAATTGAAACCGCGAAATAAAACGGCACTCAAAATTGTCTATCTTAATTTTAACAGGATCGGCTTTAGTTCAAGTTAATTGGTTAACTGGTATCAAATTCTACGTGTACTGATATGTAATAATTGTTTATTGAATTTATCTGTATGTCAATATCTTATTTAACAATGATATTATGTTTGTATCAAATATCGTTGACTCGTATTATCATAAATGATACACGTAACCTGTTATAACCGAACTTTGTTACACCAGGCTTTAAGCTTTCCTATATTGTTTTATGTGGTCTAGTAAGGAAACATTACCTCTACTGCGTTGACAAGACTGGAGACGACGTAAATATGGACATAAAGAGCCTGATGACATAATTCATACTTATACAATGTAAAGGTATAGGACCAGATAAAGGATATACAAAGGTTGTCAGATTTATGAGTATGTACCCATTGTGCTGTACACGGGGTGGTATTTCCGCCACCTATACGGGCCAAGAGGCCAAAGAACTATGCCTACCTGGTATTTAGTCCACAGATTATTGTTTCTGGTGAAGTTATCCACCAAATGATTAGCCTTTGGGCCAGTCATTAGAATTTTGTTCAGTGACCTGAAAAATAAAATCAAGCAATTAAGGTCATGCCTATAATATAATCCCTTATTAGATATAAAACGATAGTGCAGACATGATATGTGTCAGTCAGAGACGATCATAACGAGGGTATGTGGAGGGTCGACTGGGTACATGGCTACAGACCCCGAGCACCCTCTTATCATCTGATCGCATTGTTACGTTAAGGACATCGTCACACGAATACAGTCCAATTGTCAGCGACATAATAGACACATGATTTGTCAGAAGGTTATTTTAGGTAACAGTTTATCATAAATCACACGTGTCTATGTCCCATTGTTTTGTTTGTATGATTGACAGGTCGAAAACATTTGGCAGACATCAGTGAGTCCTAAGTGTCTGACTTGTAAGACGTACAAACAATGTAGAACCGAGAACTAGATATGTGTTCAGGCCAAATGTTACTTTTTAAGTCAGGAAAAATATAACACAGCGTCAACATATAATAACAACATCCGAACTCAACGTAAATATGGAAAGACAAAAGACAACCACAGGAGGCAGTAAAGAAAGACAAAGAAAGCAAACGTTATCAAACAAGGACAAGAAAATACCATAACTAGACACCAAAACGCCCCGCACAGACACAAATATATCAAACAGCATCAAAAGCCTGTTAAAGCCAGGAGACGAAACAAGGAAACACGGTAGGAAAAGGTAAACGACAGGTGTCAATGACCATACGCGGAATCAAGGACTATTAAAAACTATAGACGAAAAGAAAAGTGAAAGAGTATACATTTAAATAAGAATTGTCTATTTCATTTTCTATAAAAATACAATAAACAACAGTTTATATAAGTAAAGTACGATTTGTAACATAGTTATATTATAATCCCGAGGCGAAACAAGGTGATCACAACTTAAATATATAATTATAATTTAATTGAGCAATACACAGGTATAGGTATGTTTACAAAACCCGTGATTTTTCGTTCTTCGTCCCGGCTATTAAAATTCAGATAAGGAAATATATATATCCTACATAGTTCCTCGGCAATCTGATTCTCTATATCGTTTTCCATGATCATTGCCATGTCTTTGTACTTCGATACATTTTAATCTTTTAAACGCAACGTACATTGATAGCATAACATCAATCAGCTCTCCTTACATGATATTCAGCTTAAATCAACCTAGTCATTTTTAAATTAACACTAATAGGGAAAATGTTTTATAAATTCATTGATATAATAAAAAAAAAATCAGAAATAAATTCCGAAGGCATCAAAAGTTGGAGTTGTCATTTAAATTTGATATTAATCTTTATTCCTTTAAAGTTTAACGTCTAAAAAGAATATTATTTTGAAATTTTCATAATACTTATGATCAAGAAGTTTACATTTAAATTTCAACAAAATAAAACTAAGGGCTAGGTGAGAAACCAATCACAGGCGATTTTGATAGACGATGATAGCTTTCTGTTCCTTAGACATAGTGTGATTTATCAACACAAGGTATAACTGGTTTAAATCAAGATGACAAACGGCACATACATGTATCAAAAATATGAAGAAAACAATCGTATATAAGATAACGGTATAAAAATTGAACCATTTGGTCACGACAATCTTCCTCTCACAAATGTAAATGAGGACATTGTCGATGATTGAAGGATTCACTTCATCAGTACCGTACATAGAGACGAAAGCAATTTCCGTAATTTCCGATATCATTGATCTGTTCTCGAAAAAGACATTTTTTTACAAGACTATTTGAAATAAAACATTTATAAGATACTCATTGCTTGAATATTTGTAATCAAAATATTTTTTTAACCAAAACGGCAAACTTTTTCAAAAAGAGTATCATTTCATGTAGTTTGTTGATTTTCAATCAAATCATTTACGAACTGCCAATATGATTAAAAACTTTGCAAAGATATCCTCCTTAATAGCATGGCTACCTCCTACACTGTCTTAAAATGTTATTCTTATTGACTTTTAAATAATTTAAATGGGTGTTATATATCAAAGAAAACAACCGTAACACTAGTGTGATATATTGGGCGTCTAGTAATATGCATATGTAACATACATTGTAATTTCATAATTTATCATTAATCTGATGTATCAATTTATATATGAATAACCTTCACATATATAACAACCAGAAGTGGGCAATACACACTGACAGATATAATAACGTTCGGTATTGAAAGCATGGAACACTTAAAACACATCAAATTTGCTTTCACTCAAATTAGTTTCTATTTAAATACAGTTTTACATTGGTAAGTAATATTAATGAACGTAAGTAAGTAAATATGAAACTGACTTTGTATCCATAAAAAATACTTTTGATATATAATATTAAAATATGAAACTAAATTTTCGGAAATTAATTTAATAAAATCATCAATAAACATAACATACGTCTTACAATTAACATCAGTCGGACCATTCTAACACCAAAGTGAACAGGTGAAACAGTTTATAACATCGATCCAAGGTCTTCGAGAGACGATAGCTTCACTTATCATTAATTGAACGATTAATTTACATTTGTTTATCAGTTAGAATAGCACAAATCATATGTCATCTAACAACTGCCAGAGAAATTAAAAAAAAAAAAAAAAAAAAAAGTATTTCAAAAGAAACTTGGTGCATATGAAGCTAACGAGTCGAGGAAACCTTGGACGATGAGTGCGTTAGACCTACCATGAAGACACGTGCGTTAGGAGACAGAGGCTGGAGATGAGGAGGACAAGGACCCGGGAAAGGTCCGGTGGCCTCATGGTCACCACTTGGTACTGCAGAAGAGGAACGGGGATGAGTGCTCGCCGGATAATCCCATAATAATTAGGACAGTATAACTAGCCCTATTTCAACACGAAGGGGCAGCCCCGAGGAGATTCGAGGTTAATTTATTACACTGACAAGAGGACCGCCAATCACAGTGTCGTCTCTGTCCACTGTGGCTCATAATCTCTACAAGGTATCGTTCACGCAGATTTACCGACTCAATGCACTCAAAAAATGCCACTGAAATACATACTGCCACGTGGGATAAAGGCTGTGTATTTAATCCCTTGAGAATCAGATCGGCTAGACAAAGTAAACTAGCAGTATGAATGTTAGGGCATGTCTCGGTGGCGTGTCCGCCTCTGCATGTAGAATTGCTCCCTCAAATAAAGAACCAGCAGGCTTAGATATGCTGAAAGTACCAGGTGACAGGATGACCGTTTTACCATCTCATCAAGCCCAATACAATTAGCTTGAGGTGTGATCATGCAGTTTTGTATCGGGGTCAATGAAACAGGACTAAACGCTGAAGGTTTTTGGGAGCAAGAGATATCGCTTACACAAAGAACCCCAAGATAAATAACTTTCATCGAATTTGATGTGAATATTAGTCAAGTGAATCAATGTAGTGATTACGGAGTGGTCAGACATCATGTGACGGTATATAACCATTGTCATATATTACGTATTACAATATTAATGTTGGTAAGGTTTATTATCAAATTTTGTGAAATATCAGGTAAAATGCCTCACTATATATTTCAGTATTGTAAATGACCTTTCACCTTGGTGGTGTTTTTTTTTTTTTATCAAAGTCACCGTAGCTGTTTTATCGGGGGGGAAAACCCATTCATATATATCAAAGTTCGTGACAAAGTTGATGGACAAATATCGATTAGTTTTAAGTCGACATAATTTACATTATTATGCAAAACAAATGACCTAATTCGCCAAATATATAGCAGTCAAATCACTCATCAGAACGTTTGAAATTAAAAATACATTAAATCATCACCACATAATGAAAAGAGTAAACTATAAAATGGAGACAAATTTGATCAGAGGTACGCCGTCTGCACTTAAAGGCACAAAACAATCCTCCGCTTACAACTCCTGTCACGATTACACTCTCACTCCGACTAAATCATAGAATGAAAATACTAAACCATGGCGTTAAAGGTGCAACCACACGGATGTATCACGTTCACCTCCTATCAATACACAAAGACAGGATCAGAACTAGAGGTCGACAGACAGTGAACAGAAACTTAAGGCGAAACCATGCACTCAGGAAGGAGTTATTTACCTGTACCATTTGGAGTACTTGTCACACTGCGTGTACAGTTGGTAATGTGATATACATTACGTTATGTTTAACACATCCACCTGATCCTTTTTCTGTACATCATTAATTATATCAAAGTATTGTTCAGATTCTGTTGGTACGGAAATAAGTGAACTTCATTTCGATATATAGTTTCAAACTACAACACTACGTCTTATTTGGAAATAACAAAGGATCTGTTTAACAATGTTTTGTACTAGATTCAACAAAAAGGCTTCACTAAAGTTCAATTATTGAAACAAACAAACAAACAATCTTACTAATAGTACGAAAAGCAGTGTAATATTATTTGATACATCTTAAGTATAGGTATGATTTGTATACATTGGTGAGCAGCACATCTGATTGCATTGTAAAAGACGTGTAAAATCTGTTTTGGGGGATAAATCACTCTCAAACATTAAATGGAATAGTAAAATAATAAAAGTAAGAATAGTATCTTGATACTTGTTCATGAGCTATTTTGGAACATCGGGGAGAAACTTTTGAATTTAAGAACGTTCTTGAAGACTGAAATTGCTTTAAGATGCCATTATTTGAATCAAAGGCCCCGGCCTTCGATTCAAATAATGGCATCTTAAAGCAATTTCTAAAGTATATGACAAACGGCAATATTGTGGGATTGGTCATCACAACATACGTTTTATGACTTATGATTTTATTATGATTTATCTATAACTAAACATGTAAAAATGACCATCATTATGTTAACCTGTTAACCCTGCATAAAATCTATGTACAGAATATTATCGGAGGAGTTCTTCGATTTGACGTCTTATCAAACGATTGGCACAGACTGACGTCCACGTACGTACCAAAGAATGACACTGAAGCATTGCTATATCATATTTTGTCCATTTCAATTGTTCATACTTGAAATAAATCTATACACGTATTCGTTTCGGAACACTTTTCTATGTCTTTAAGATCAGTGGAGTTAGTGCCCTTGTTCGATATAAAACACTATCACAAAATATAGCCTTCTGTGATTTGTTTCTTGTTTCAACGCTGTTCATGTCGTCATACATGAAGATATGTATTGAAGAACACAATTCCTATTTGTCTATTATTTGGACTTCTATCAAAAATATGTGCTGTTATTTCATGTTAGCATTGAAAGTAATCTGCAGTATAGTTAACTCTGGGCACATACACAATAACATTCATGTATATTTTATTTAATTGATTGAAGTAATTCTATGATATAATGAATACAGAACACCATAGTATAAATGCAGATAAATAGTGATAAATACTCCATGACATATCATTTTTTTTATGTGCGCATTGCGTTAACTTTATAAAGCAATGTAAGGCATTTTTAATGCATTCGTGTTAGACACTAGACCATAAGATAAATAGATATAATTAAAATCGGAATTTAAAGATTGGTTTGTCTATTTGTTTGTTAGAACGTATACATGTTCAAGTCATATAGAGACGGGGTTTGAAGATGATAGGTCATATTAAGGTTAATTGGGGTGTAATCAACATTGAAAAATGCTAATCCATGACATGACATAGCCTTACTTCCCATCCGTTCACTATCCGGCCAGTGTTTTAGGGGACTAATTTGCCTTTTAGCAATACAATTGTCCACGTGTGCCGAGTATGTATGGAGCTGGCTTATTGAATGTCAACTGCAGTAAGCAAATAAAGAAAAATTGACATAACTTTTAGGAGGGTAAGAGTAGTTGCCTCATACGATCATGCAGTTGGATACAAAAGGTCAGTTATCCCCCCGTACTTAATGGGGATTGATTTGTAGCTAAATCATCGGATTAAATAAAACAACGTTTTACAATATCACAACATAGGGGAAACTTCATCATACGTGTTGATCACTGAAATATGCATATTAAGCTTGAAAGGGTGTATGTGATAAAAACAAAACATTGTCATATGTTGAAAATTTATAAACAGCAAAATTAATTGAAAAGAGTTACGGATATTGTCAATTGAAGTGTACCTGGACACAATTAAAAAAAATACTTGTATTTTACATCAGCCACAAAATATCTCGCTGCAATTCTAAAGAACATGACAAATCAATGCAAACGAACTTTTTAGGATGATATAAACTCTTTTTGCCAGCAGATAAGTGTGAACTTGAATCAGGTACATTGCAATGTATACGCTTAGGTAATTCACGACAAAAATATTACGGAAAAACGGTTCACATGAAATATTTTAAATATTTTCACATTCGTGTACTTTGTAGATCATGACTACCTTTAACGACACATTTAACACCTTGACACAAATATCAGCATGTAGAACTGTAATTCCTTTTTATTTCCGATTTGTTTTATTTGTTTTTGAGTACTGACAGAAGGTTTATCTTAGTTTGTTGGGGGGAAACAAACAATACAGCATTTATACATTTTGATTAATTATAGAAAGTTGTACTACAGTGCTGATGCATTAAAACACACACTTAGGACACGATAAAACATAAAGAGTATTTAAAGAGGAATCCTTCTCACAAGATATGCGCTGACATTTTTTGCGATCGTTTAATCTTCATTTGTTCGTTTAAACAAAATATCTGGAAACTGATCGTAACCAAAGTAGTCAAAGTCCTTTTTAAATACATCTGCTAGCTTACGTAGTACAACCAGTGGTATTTGCCTATAATATTGCAAAAACAGCGACTTTCGTTGAGATTGTAACATACTTAGAGAAGCCGAATCGAAAGCTTTTCTGATGACACTTGTCAGGTCGTCTATAGTTAAATCCAACACTTCGTCTTTTTTAAAAGGACATGCTGTATCTAAACTGACAATTCCTTTGATTTGTAGCTTTTTCCAAACTCTTAGAAGCGCAGTGTGCACATTTACACATCTTCGCATGTCCGTCCTCATTATCACAAAAGCCTGTGCTGCATCATATATAGTATCATTGAGCATGTTAAAGGACGGGCCCTCAATAACGCTTAAGTAAGACCGAAGGTTGAATGTTTCTAAAATGTAACGTGTGTCAAATTTTAAAGTCTCCATGTGACTTATAATGTCAAATTTCACTTTACAAGGATGACATATTTCCACTGCGGGTATAAAGTGACTGTCTTTTTTCTCCCCTGTCGTCTGAGCTTTGATGACGTATTTCACAAATTCTAAAAACGTCACATCATGTCCACAAGTTTTACTTTTCATAGTAGCGTTAGGTCGGACAGTTCGCACGATATGCTCCCCTACGGAGTCCCAAAAATAGACGTTGGGTGAATATAACTTGTCTATATATCCAGACAGCAGTCTCGTATACGGGTCTCTGGCAACCATAAACTTGATAGAAAACTTTAAAATGTCTCCTAATTCTTCCATTGTTTCATTGCCAAGGTTTTTATAATTAAGCAGCCCGTTTTCAGGCCGGATATTGTATGGACTAATGATAACATTTTTGTCTATTTGTTGCAGAAGTCTTCGCCAAAATGTGGAGCCACTTTTCTCCACACCGCAGTAGAACATCCGGTATTTGTGGTTGTACTGGAAGTGACGTAGGTTCAGTGGGGTGAAGTTTGATTCTGTATCCGCTGGCGTACACATACTCTGTAGGCGGTGGTAACGAAGGTCTATCTGTCTACGCCATCGAGATCTCGCTTTGCCCACTTTGACCTTACTGGGTGGATCTACCTGTGGGAATATCAGAAACCAGATATAAACAACACTACAACTACACGAGAATGCTCCTTTTGGACAATGCACATTAAATGTATTTCTCTCATTATTTAAACTTTGTATTAAAAACAATGTGTGTTCTGTTGTTACATTATGAACTTCTTTACTTGTGTTTGGTATGGCAAAGGATGTCCCTTCATTCAGTGCTGAAGGAATATTACGGTAATCATCCTATCCTGTTTTTCACCTATGATATTTCAATGGCTATTATGATTAATGCCAGTGTCTTAGATCGTTTCTGACCTACATTATCCTAGATATAAAAGGAGACAACTGCCACAAGCGATGCAGATAACCTCAACCATCCGGAGAACCTGATTTTCCGAACGATTCTTGTGGGGTTTTAAGGTATCTTTTCATTTTAATTGTTGCTCATGTTTTCTCCATTGATACCAATACTTTTCTTGTGTAGTGACACCCAAGTGTACTTTTCTATTTCCCCTATCGTATCGAGTCGAACAGATAATATCTTGTGTAGTGACACTTAAGTGTACTTTGCTATTTCCCCTATCGTATCGAGTCGAACAGATAATTTCTTGTGTAGTGACACTTAAGTGTACTTTTCTATTTCCCCTATCGTATCGAGTCGAACAGATAATTTCTTGTGNTCCCTATGGTATCGAGTCGAACAGATAATTTCCTGTGTAGTGACACTTAAGTGTACTTTGCTATTTCCCCTATCGTATCGAGCCGAACAGATAATTTCTTGTGTAGTGACACTTAAGTGTACTTTGCTATTTTCCCTCTTTTGTTTCGTATCACGATGTCATATAATAAAAAACCACGAATATGACAGGAAGCGTTCGTACCTTAAACATGTACTTACCGGCGGTGTTTTATGGCTCTGACTAGTACGTAAATGAATGTTGATTCCCCAATGACCGTCAGTGTTGTCAATAGATACTTCTGGAAGGTAGCAGACACAACTTAACAGTGGAATGTTTGAATCGAAAATTGACGGAAAATTAGAGACCAGAGCCCGTATTCATGAAGCCGTTCTCATGCCCAATCATGGATTTTGTGCTCAAACCAACTTTCATGTAACTCACTTAAATCGTGCCAAATGATCAAAAAGTCACATGTAAACGTTGAAAACAGTACTTGGCTTTAAGTCTCTTCAAAGCTTTTCTTTCAAAATCATTGACAATATAAGATTTTATTATTAATTTATAAACGGAACAAGAAATTAGACTTGTGCCCAACATCTATGCTTAAGCATGAGGATGGTTTCATGACTACGGGCCCAGGAACATAGAAAACGTGTCCACAGTACTACATCAAATTAGTTGAACTAAATAGCATAAATGGTATAATGTTGGCTGTAGATACAGATGAAGTAACAGGACACTGCAAACTTATCAATGTGTCGTATTTAACAGAGATCAGATAAATAAAGTTAAATCCGTCTTAAAGACGAGGGACTGGGAGAAGCGAAAACGGTCTGGGTAGATAACGGATCATTATAGTAGCGAACATAAAGGAAAATACACCTAGAGAATATCAAATAGTGTACGAGCTGCTTCTTTCATCATCAATAGAAAATACTTGAATGAAAGATCGATAAAACCTAACAAACCGCATAGTACGATGAGCAGGACGACGATAATCACGAAGCCGACGAGTCTTCGACGTCGACGACGCCGGCTGAATAACCCAAACATAACGTCAGTCAATCGCCATAACTGGAAAAATAACAACGAGACATGTTACCATGACAATGACAATAGTGTATCACATATATACAAACCAAAGAGAGACAAATGACGAGGGAAACGTCACAGGTAGAATACCAGCGGAAATCATTACGAAAAACGAACCTTCATGGATGTACTAGTGTTCTTTGAAATTTTATAGATCAGATTCGCAAATTGATGCTTCTAAAATTAATGATACTTTTTAAAGGCTTTGTTTTGATGTTCAGTAGTGACATTTGGATCTGCATGTGCTTATATTTGTATGTTAATTGTTTCAGGTGATTTGTAAACATTGTTTGCCTCAGTGTCATATATCACAATCACACTTTTACATTTTGAAAGTATAGTTACATAGTATTACAACATATAGTCACATAGCACGGATCAATCGTAATATATAAAATATTTTTAAAACGTAGATGAAATGTCATATATGATTATATATGTCAGTGAACTATATCCATTATTATAATTATAAATACATATGAACTATAATTAGTGTCATGTCCTTCAACTATTTAATTGTTCTATCGTTAACACTAACAAAACAGTAGGTATCGCAATGCTAAAATAGCTATAAGTTAGACACGAGAGTTTGTAATGATTATTACGAGGAAGTACGAGATATACACTCTAACCGTTTAACAATTGACACACACACACATAAAGGGTGCTCATGGACACTAAAAATAGAATTGTCAACAGAACACTGCATCAGAGAAAACATCAATGTTTATGTATTTCTCTGATGAAAATTCACATTTTACGATAAATCTGTATTATATGGTGCAAATGATCAACCAAAGCAGCTACAATGACTGAGTAAGCAAGCATTACCTTTGATTCCACCCGTATATATATCGTTCAGTTGGAGCAGTGCACACGTCATTCCGTGGGTATATGTAGTGTATACTGAGTATTGTTTCACGAGGCGTAACACACGTAAATGTTCAGTGTATTGTCTAACATTTAAAGCTTCGGTGATCAATGCTGACGAGGTCTTCACACGGCCCTCATAGTTTCACATCCGATTTGTTTTTGTGAAACGAGACACTTTAAATGTAGAGGGTTCTCGCTGGATGTTGGTTTGTTGATCACGTCTCCATTCAAACATTTTGTCAAAGCCATAAACCAGTTGTATCGTGTTAAGAAACCTCCACGAAATGCACACTTCAAAGGTAAAACTTTTAAACAAACAACGTGAGAACGCGCCGGAAACTATCCGGAATTCAGTGATGTTTACTGCTGTTACAAGTTAAATGTAAGAGTCACATTGTAAACACGTTTTAATTCTTGTGCAGTTACATTTTACCGGAGTTCTTACATGTCGTGCTCTTTTCACCCTTATAAACTTGTGCATCGACGTGGAGTATTTGCCTAGACAGACTTTATTAACTATTTATGGTTTAAATAAAGTTTATTGCCTGTATCAATTTAGCATGCAACACACCATAACAGTACCGCAGTGGCACTGCTAAAATACACACGACCAAAGAAATCCAATAAACGAGTCATGAACCGGTATATATTAAATAGTTTACTGATGCTTTGCCTCTGTACTACAGTAAAACATGAAAATGCCACTGTATGTTTGTTTATTCGCGGGCAACTAAATTAGAGGAAGCATTAACAATGCGCATTCAACGCTTGACCCATCCGTTATAAAATGCTAAAATTGCTAGAGGGTGAACACATATTTATAATTCAATATGTCGATACAATTAAGCAAACAAACCAAACATATTTTTTACTGTACCATCTGGCTATTTCGTCCATTTGTGATTCATCAGCGGGACTTTAGGTAAAAAAAAAAAATGAAAACCATATTTAAATTATTCCGAAACATGTGTAAAAGGAATGGTGCATATCAAACATGAAAAACCAATTTACAACTGTGGATACAACAACGAATTTATTTTAACTAGAATTGAAAGCAATTTAAATGTCAATCAACTCGGATGAATTAAAATCAATTCTTCCGAAACAAAATCTTCTACATTTCAAAATGCAGTTCTGTAATGGAGTCGAATAGTACGTGTTAATTCACATAAGGAAGTACAATAAAGTGTTTCTTTATAAAACACATGAGTTATTTGCCAAACGTAGACACAGTCTATATCTATCTATACATACACAGGAAATGGGTACTATTTGTCTCTTACCTGAGTGGTATCACCCGTTGATACTATCATTAATTGCAGAAACATTCACATGTCAGCATTAAAACATTCAATCATTTGCTCTGTCAACCTGCAATAAGAACATGGTATACGCTAACCTCACTAGTTCGCAGGGTTGGATTGTCTCAGGCAGAGAAAACTAGAGCTTAGATGCAACTACGACAAAAATCCAGTCAAACAGTGAACGTTTCAAAAGCCTTGGAAGATGCTCAACCGTAAGATTTTATTGACTCACAATAGATCGAGGACATCTCCATCAGGATCCAAACGGGTACATGTATCAATTAGTAAGCAGGACAACTTGTTTATCTAATCCTCAGTTTACCTATATAATGCTACCAACTGTGGATTGCATTCATAGCAACATACTTGCAATATGGTCGGATTTTAGCGACAGTAATATAATTTACATCGGCATCATAAATCTGAAGTTGGAGATCACCGGCTAATATCTACCGGACTACTGCTTCTTTCTATTGAATATACACTTATGATTCAGTGGCTATGAGATTTATTTTCATAGCGCTTCATGAAATATGTCTGTTACCAGCATATTAACGAAAATTGGAAATTATACTCTGAATTACATACTTGACAGAGCAAGCTGTCTTCAACCTTCGGCTATGCAGCAATGTGATATTACTTGGAAAAAGGGAAATTTCCATTATTAAGTCAAGCGCCAACAAACTAGTAATAGCGACAAGCAGTATCAGGGAATAAGTAACCGTATTTTCTGATTTGATGAGATAGAAAAAAAAAGATGTGTAAGCTTGGTCACATAAATATGTTCCTCAAATGCGTTTTCATTTGTGTAGATCCGTTTGAAATCAACTTCACTATTGCATGTATTTAACACGCATAGCTAGTACTTTTTCTGAGTGGTTTCATTTAGGAGCGGGTCCAAGGCAGGACCTTAGTAGGTGGACAAAGGGGTCAACAAGCTTTGTTTTGTTCTTCTGTTTGAAAATTCGTGGATTAACCTGCGTACCGTTGTATAGGAAGCTACGCGCCTGGTAGCATGTTTTTTTCGTAGAGGTTAAACAAATGAAATCAAAACCAATACTGTCGTCGATATCCCTAGCTCGAGAGACAAGCCTGGATAAGATACCCAGTTATGTAATGTATCATGTTTATGAATGGCACAGTAGCACTTATTTGTGTAAAAGGTGTGTACAGATCTAGCATCCGCAACAGGCATTCAGTAGAGCAATTATTTCAATTTAGCCTTGGTTTTACTCATAATCGATATTTGGGTAAATAGAAGTGCTATATGCACAATGCTTTCATCAATGATGCGACTGTAGTATGGATTTCCTGATTGACTATATCTTTCCTGATTACGATGGCTAGAGTTTCCAGCAATCTGTATGCATTTATATGGGAACAAACTAGGCCACTCTTACGCGGCTGAATTTTTAGATGAGCTTATCGGCAATGGTAACAAACCACTAGTTTATTCCTTCAATTTCACATTCAGATATATCGACGATGTTCTAGAGCTAATAAAGAAGACACTACAGACTCTTTTACTTACCCGCTTTCCTCGATCTTTTACTTACAACATGGCCGACAGGGACGGCGAAATACTAAGTTGTGCGATAAGCGGGACGAATTCAAATTCCCGATCGTGAACTTTTCCTTACTCCATAGTAATTTTCATGTCGCAGTTGAATCAATATTCAAAAGTTGCTCTGAATATCACGAATTCAGTGATAGATGTCGACTGCTGACGGACAAACTTGCAACACCGAGTTGCCAAAGATGCAGGTTGATGTTCAAAGACTTTGGACACGTTTTATTTAATAGGATTTATTAGGATATTAGTGGACGCAGGCATTGTTGCCTCTTTATCCACATCAATATAATTTGAAATACAATGTGGTAAACATAAAATAAGCCTTTACATAAGACGCTGTATGATCGTACTTCAAGTTTTTCTCAACGTCAAGTACGTTACGAGATGAAATAACTGCTTGTGGGAGACTATTCCAGTTACCAATTATTCTTTGAGTAAAGTAATGTTTTCTAATATTTAAATGACAATGTTTGAGTATTTTTTTTTAACTGTGTCCACGAGTTTTTCCTTGAGCGGCGAGATCGAACAATCCCTCCACCAAATTCGGATCATATCGCCCATTCATAAACTTGAACACGTTGATCATATCTCCGCGGAAGCACCTGTATGTTTCGAGTTGGAAGGTTCAATCAGCGTAGTCTCTCACTGTAGCTACTCCGGGGAGTAATTTTGTAGATCTTCTTTGAACGTTCTCTATCCTTTCGATGTCCTTAGTTGTTGTGGACTCCAAACACTTGCAGCGTACTCTCAATGAGGTCGAACCAGCGCTTTAAAAAGATTTGTGAACATTATTTCGTCAAAATATACAAATGATCTCCTTATGACACCTACGATGCTGTTAGTTATATTTATTGCCTGTTTGTTATGTGTTGTAAAACTCAAGTCTTGGTCTACTACAACCTCTAAATCTTTCTCCGACGCAATGCTTTCCAATTGCTATAATTTCTCCTTCCTTGTCCGTTAGATATCGTGGTTTTCTCTTTTTGTTTTGTTGACACGGTCATAACTTTACACTTCATGGTCGCCATAATGACTTCATAGGTTAATACACTATTTCCTTGTGATGTGAAGGTCGATAGTTTGATTATGCTCAGTGTCCTGTTGTCGGTATGATGACGTAATATTGAATTTAACCTAGATTTGTATGGCGTGTCGTCGATGACACCTGACCTTCTCTCCTTGTACTTTTTCAATAGTCTTCATGTCAATCTTTCCTTTGTTCATATTTTGTCAACAGTTTTATTGACTTTGAACTCTAACTATGGTTTGTGGACACTTCGGCACTCTCCTTTCTTCATAACTGAACGTATTAATTAAACAATTTCTTACACAAGTTACCGAAGCTTAAAATGTAGGTCAAATTAAGCATCCCAACATGCAATCTAGGTGAATCAATGATGCAGGTATAATCCTTGTAGCACTTATTTAAGTAACCAAAGCCATTCCTCTTAACTGGACATATGGATAAGACAATTTCACTTTAGCCAAATCACTTGCTAGTATAAGTTAGGTAAACTTCATTTCTACAACATCAACCCAAGCTGCATCATTGATGCCAGGTTCATGTAGACTTTTTAGAGCAATATATTTCAATTGTCTAGGTACATGTACGAATATCGGTTATAAAGCACAAATCACAAAATCAAAACGAATCACAGCAGATTTTTAATTGTACCATTCTATAGTAAATGTTTTATACATATGTATGAAGACCTAACTTCAAAACAGCCTCCTTCATTAACAAGATATTGAAACGGCCCTCATAGTAAAGGGGAATGTGTTGTCTCTATTATATATATTCCAGCACTTTTCTAGAGTTACCTATTTTCTAGTTCTCTTCCAGAACTGACCTCAATTCCAGCATTTAACTTAACCAAGAATCCTAAGTGTTAAATGTAGGTCAAATTCAGCATATTTAACATGCATTAAGGAGAACAACCAAAGTTCATCATTGATAATGTTGACCCGCATAGAAGTGCACCGAGTGCTCAAGTAAGGTGAATGCTATCAACTTATATTAAACACTATTGTTGGCCAGCATGGAAGTGCGCAGAAGGACCCAGTTCGCTGAATGTTTCAGTATTACACCTGATCCAGTAATCCAGTAATTTTCTGTATCAGACAACAGTTGACTTAATTGGCTAAAATTTTAGACAGCTTCTTCAGCTGACAATACCTTCAACACAACTGCACAGTGAGAATGCATGGGGTGATAAATAATAATATAAAGCCAATTTTGTTTTTTCTTTTTTCTTTAATATTTATTAGTTATATCAACATCATAAAAATATTTTAAGTTTCTGTTTCTAATATCATGACATGATCCTCCAATAGTGGACATAGAAACCTTAATGAATTTGAGCTAATACATGAAAAATATATGGTAGAACTACACATTATCATCCTCATGATACTCTTCACAAACAATTAGATCCAACATAATCACTCATTTTTTATATCAATTCGTAAATGAAACATTCAATATTGCTGCCCTGTAAAAATTTGATATCAAACTTCCATTAACTGTTTCTATCTCTTCTACATTTTAAGTTGTGCTGAAGTAGCACATTATAAAAGTGAGATTTAAATAAGCAGTATCATATAAATTATAAACATTGGATGTTCAAATGAGTAGTTTCCCATTTAATAGAGCAATGCCAAATATCATGGAGTAGTAGTCTCCCTTTCAATAGAACTCTTCCTCGTCTCCCTCCTTGCTTGGCCCTGAGGTTGACTGTTGGTTCTGAATCTGGTCCTGGTTTTTGTACATGTCTGCCACCTAAAATACAAAACACACCAATGGTGATATCAGGTGACTGTTTTAAATATACAGCTTAAAAAAATGCTATGGAGGAAGACATACTGCAATATTTAACACATAGCAATTATCCAGTTCTTTTTAAAACTTCCAAATAACACTTGTATGTTCTGATAACCCCACCTAATAAAAGCGGTTTGTTAAGAGCCCATATTAGACTTGACAAGCCTCACTGTAATGTATATGGATGTGAGGACTGAGAAGTGCCAGTGGTATTCAAACAGAAATAAAGTTAGAGAACTTTGATATGACCAACATAGACAAGATGCCACAAAACAAAATGGATTTATTTTTTCTCTCAAATTTTACATTGTATTAAAAGATTTCCTTAAAAAGGGGGCAAAGCACAGAAGTTACATTTAACATCACCATAACTGATCTATGTCAGCATTACTTTTACAGTATAAGATACAGATTACCATGACAACACACCTGTGAGGCTGAGGTGGCATCTTCTGGTTTCTTATCGTCTCGGATTCTCAGGAACCGTGGAAACCGTAGAGAAATACCTTTCTCTGGATCGACCTGACCAAATAGAATCATTATAAAATTACTATATGAATATATTTTTAAAAATAAATGGCACAGCTTTTTTATTTCGAGTTTCAGTTTTAAACCTAAACAATAGCATGTCAATTAAATATGAATACTCTTGACTACATTTTATCTCCCACTCCTTTTTGCTGTATTCTGCTCAAGAATCACTTAATCTAGCTTTTGTTAAAAGTCCATGCTCATGTTGAGCCCTTTTTTCCACAGATGTAGGTGATAAAGGTAAAAAATAATCCCAGCACTTTTTTTCCCCCAATTTTACAGAGGCCTACCTATGCTCAGCATAGATATAATAGTGTAAATAAAAACAATTACAAAGTTACGAAATGCTTTCATGACCTAAAGAAAGTGGGTTTAATTAATTATATTTAAGAAATATCCCATCTTGGCCTGAATTAAATCATTTTTAATTTATCCTAATGCAATTTTCAAGTAATATTTTATGAAAGCCAATACATTGTATTAGAACACAATGAAATCTATCACAAACTTTTATAGTATAACTTACGATGCCTGACGCTGCCCTGTGAGTGGGTGATATGGAGAGGTCAGCACACTTGACCTCCCACACCTGGACGGGCTCAAACCAGTGGTCAGGCTCGTGGGAACTGTCCCAACAGTAGTACTGTTTTGGCTTGTCAATCAGCTGCTCCTTGAAGAATGTAGCATGCTGCTCCAGATCATCATCCTTGAACCCTGTACCAATCTGTAATCAAGCAAAACAATGCTAATACCTTATATAAAGGTTTAAGTGCAAGTGGGACTCATTTTCTTTAAACTTGTTTCAACAACATTTCAGAAAGGGCTAGAAATATAATTAAAATAATAGGTCTAAAAAATAAACACTTAATGTATATTAAACTTGTTTTAAATGTAGAAAACAAATTCATTCAATGTCAGGTAGTTACCTTACATATGGACTGGAACTCTTCACTCTCTGGTTCGTAACATGCCAACAAGAACCCTCCATATTTTCCCGTCCTCTTGCCAGATCCCAGATAGCCTCCAATGACCACCAGGTCTAGAGTGTCCCCTACACCTTCCAGGTAGTCTTTCTTAAGCTGCAAATATGAACGTTTCCATAAGAAACTCAAGGGAGGTAACTATTCCTCACTTGCACATACTCATACTAAACAATAGAAATCATATGAGAAGATCTTAAGCCACAAATATGAACAAGATTATTCTAGCAGTCAAGGGAGATAACTATTCCTTGCTTACACATACTCAAACTAAAGATAAATCATATAAGAAAATCTTTAGCCACAAATACAAAAATGACCATTCTAGAACTCAAGGGAGGTTACTATTCATCACTTATACATATTCATCATTGAGCAGATAAACTCACACAAGAAGATCTTTATCTAGTATCTACAAATATAAACATGACTATTCTAGCACTCAAGGGAATTAACTACAGCATTCCTCACTTTCACATATTCATACAAGATAATCATACAAGAAAATGTTACTATATAATGTGTCAGTTTTTAAATGATATTCAAATATCAAGAATTTTAATATAATTTTACATAAATCTCACAAAAGTGTCAACATGAATTGAACATATTGGTAACAAAAATTTACCTTCAGCCAATTGTGAGACCTCTTTGCAATTTCATATGTGGCATCTACATCTAAAGTTTTCACCATGAGTCCTTCACAGTTTCCTGTAAATATTCAAGCGTTACATGCAGGTCAAATCAAAATGAATACCAACAGATGTGTTTGTCAATTTTTCTTGCCGCTATTCAAGAGTAAAACACATGATGGGCAGGGAAGCACCTTTGTTCGTGATCGCCACAACCCACAATATCTTCCTGCGTCCCACTATACAGATGTTAAATGTTAACCTAGACTCCATGCAGTGAATTATCTAATGTGAATGCATTTGACTTTTGATTCCTGAATAATAAAGATACCAATTACCTGTAGACTTTGATTTTCCTACAGCCATAATAATTGATCACGTTATTAAGTGAGCAAATAATCTTAGTCCCCATTCCTTTACCTTTGACAGATTCGTCCAGGAAGACGGCTATTTCCTCAGTATCTGAGGAGATCATAGACTTAGCGAACACGAACTCTCCCTCCACTTCCTCAAACGACTCGTGCAGCAGTTCCCGCCGGCGCTTGAAGGGCTCCTTCACAAGTGATTCACCATTGAGGTAGAGCAGGTCAAATGCATACACACACACTTGGATCTTTATTTCTGATGCATCTGCATCCTGGAATGTAGGAACATGACTGCTTTTAGTATTGTATCAAAAATCCAACACCAGCCTAAAAGCCAGCCACTGTAAGAAATATACTTATGTCAAGCAGCAATTTCATTCAGTGAGAGTACTGAAGTTTTGGAAATTATTCAGACCTTGAATTTTCATTATTCAAGTGATTATATATAAGATTTTGAGTATTTTATCTATACAGTAATACAGAAACAGTTTACCCAGAAGGCCATTAAACTGTTACAAACCTTTCGTTTCCTGTGACTAAGAACCTGGAAAGGCTGTATCTGTTTCTTCTCCGCGTCCCAGGCCACTGCCTCCGAGTCTATCACACAGGACTTTACAGAGTCCTTCATCACCTTAGGGACCCTGGCTATGATGTCTGGGTACTTGGTTGTGTTATTCTCAGAATTTCTACTGTATATATTGACAGTACCATTTTCTAATATATGTATCTGAAAATGTTAATTGAAAGAGAAATGTAATGAAATGATGACAAAAATACCTGTTGTTACTAAAAGCAACAAATGAACTGGTCTCATTTTACTAGGATGTGTGGTAGAGGCGTACATGTAGGTGAGAAAATAACATTGAACTGATAAATGCTATACTAAGGCAAAAGAATAGGAATCTGATCCAGTGTTATATTGAAATCAGATACCATGTTATATCTCACACTTGAATACCGGTCACAGAGACAGGTTTGTTGTCATGTAATCATATATTTTACCTGTGCACGTTCTCCATCATATTTGTATTCACAGGTAAATTCTGCATTCTCAAATCTCTTTAGCACCTCACCGACACCTTTGGTTGGATGGGCCAACATTGGTTTTAGAGGAATACCTGCAAATGAAAACAGGGAAAAGTTTATCACCACTTATCTTTATCAGTGTTTTGGCATGTCCTAATTTACCCGAACTAAGCTTACAACATTAGGGGCAAGCTTACATAGGTTGATCATATTTCAATGTTTTACAAAGTCTTTATACATTCAGAATGACCAGAAACAAGGTCATTCTGCATTTCTCATTTCCCTTAATTCTGAAACTTCTATTTTTCACTGATCATCGAAAAAAAAAAAAAAAGTTTCAGAACTCATGAGCTTCTTTATTTAATGCCCCCCCTCCCTCCTCCATTCACATTTTTTTTTAGCTAACTCCTTTAATTTAGATAGAAGGAATTTTTATGACAACCATTTTAGACCTTTCCAAACTTGCAGGGACATTATAATCTAACCTTGATGAACTTGCTGAGGAGAGTTATCACTTACCTGGGGTCAGTTTGCAGTGTTTAGGTAGATCTTCTATACCTTTCTTCATCAAAGTTGATATGATGGAGCCATAATTTGGACATTCACTGAAATTGGAAATTATACCTTCAACCTATGATATGTTTTAGTAGCAATAAAATTAGTTATAGCAATAATGTTCTCTTTTAGAGTAAAAATAATTTTACAAACTTATTTTATACATAATCATTAGAGTAGATATAGAAACCAGTGTCTAAGCCACCACAGAATGATGAAAACAAACTAGCTCACAGGACATAAATCTACAAGTTCAAATCAAATACAAATATGGCTTCCAAGCTGCCAGTCTGACACTTCTGCCCTGTTGACAAATTAAATATTTACCCAATTCATATATCAGCATAGTTATGGTCAATCTATTTCAATTCTAGCCGTGTGAAAATAAGGACCTGACATAGATTTCAACTCTTATTGAACAAAATAGATAAGAAATGATTATGACGACAAGTCTTACAAGTTTATATACACTTACCAATATACAGATTTTATAGTAAGAGCTGATTCTTCCATCTTCTTTTTTAAATTCTCAGCTGACAGGCCTTTTCCAGCATCAAGTATCTCTGGAGGGAAATCTTGATAAGAAACATTTTTTTTATGAGCTACACATGATCCTGATATTATGTATTTTATGAACACACATATAATTTTGTAGAATTACTTAATGTTTTATTAAATATCGTTGAAAAGCCAAACATTGCAATTTTGCATTTTTTTTTGTTCCCCATTTGTAAGATTTGCTCATGTATAATTTCAGGATTTGACGTCAGTGATGAAGAAGCGTTCTATAAAGAAACCTCAAGCAGGTCCCATCTCCAAAGAAAGAAAGGCAAGCTGAACCCAATGTAACAAGAGGGCCTGTATCGCTCACCTGCCCCCATGGGGTTCATAATCACTGTTTATACAAAATTGAGTCCCCTTGGCCCAAGGATGCTCCAGACTAAATTAGGATAAAGTCCTTTAACTTACAGTAATAGAAGGATTTTATAGGTTTTACCTCTATGACTCTTATTTGGCCCCGTCCCTCTACCCCCAGGAGGGCCACACCCACCGTTTATACAAAATTGAGTCCCCTTGGCCCAAGGATGCTCCAGACTAAATTAGAATAAAATCCTTTAATCCCTCCCTACAGTAGAAGAAGGATTTTAAATGTTTTACCTCTATTTCCCCTATTGGGCCCCACCCCACTGCCCCCAGGGGGACCACACCAACCGTTTATACAATATTGAGTCCCCTTGGCCTAAGGATGCTCCAGACCAAATTTAGTCAAAATCTACTAGGCCGTTAAGGACTAGTAGCATTTTATAGGAAAAGTTGACAGACGAATGCCGGATGCTGCGCCATAGCATAAGCTCACTTGCCCTTTGGGCAGGTGAGCTAAAAATAGGTGACAATTGGGAAGTTGACCTTATCTTTATTTTGATACTTATAACTTTCCCTTCTATTTTCTACATAATTTTACTTCCAGTGTTTCTATATATACAATCTATTGTCAGCCATTTCTATTGTTCGATTGTAAATGTCTCTATTTGGTTCTTGCAAGGTCCACCAAAGAAAAGTCTGTCACAATTCTTATTTTGTCCAGCTTTCTTACCTTGACCAGGAGGTGTAAGGAACACAGCATTGCCGAGAGCTGTGAGGACACTCTGTTCAGCCAGACCGATCCTGAGCTTGCCTCCTAGTGATCGGATGAGGTAGCGTGCCTCTGACTGTCGACATGCTACAAACAGACCTTTGATGATGTCAATCTTCTTAGACATCACCTAAATAGAAAATACAACGATATGTTAATACTTCAGTACTGTTTACTAGTCTATTAACAGTCTTAAATTTCGAAAGAAAATATGCAAAATTCCTTGAAATGTTATCGAATGAAAGGGCTTTATTTTTGGCTCTCTATAACTTTATAATTGAAAACATTAAACACACTTTTTTATTTCAATGAAGCAAAATTTGAAGTTAATATCTTTCTAGAAAATATTGCAACACCTAAAGCTTGAAATGCAGGATTTTAGATATTTTTGTTTTTCCGGAAACCAAAGTGTCACAGACTAATAAATTTTAACTGTAGCTGGACAAGTCTGACCTTTTATAACTGGACAAGTCTGACCTTTTATAACTGGACAAGTCTGACCTTTTATCGCTGCTGCGACATTTATTTATTAACAGACTTACATTATTGCCAGACATGAGCGCTATTTCCTTCAGCTTGGTAAACACAGCTCTAATGGTCAGCTTGGGAGGGGCAAACATTGTCCGCTGGTTACTCCGACTAGACTGCAAAACATACACTCTATATACACAATGCACATTGATTTTTTTTATTTTTTTTATCAAAGGCTTGTTGACCTGCTATAATATATTTTTAGTTTTCAATGATGTTAATTGAGAAGTTTTAGACTTATTATGTGTACTATGCAGCCAGATCACCTTGGTCAAAAGTGAGAAATGACATCCTCAGAAAAGTATCAACCACTCCTTATTGGCTAAACATAAGTCATCTATATACATATGCAGTGTCATTTACCTATGCCACAATGTCAACGTCATCTATATATNTTATATATATATATATATATATACACATAAACAGCGTCATTTACCTATGTTACAATTACAAGGTCATCTATATATACATATACAGTGTCATTTACCTATGTCACAATGTCAAGGTCATCTATATACATATACATTTACCTATGTCACAATGTCAAGGTCATCTATATATACATTATACAGTGTCATTAACCTATGTCACAATGTCAAGGTCATCTATATACATATACATTTACCTATGTCACAATGTCAAGGTCATCTATATACATATGCATTTACCTATGTCACAATGTCAAGGTCATCTATACATATATAAATGACTTACTTCTGCAACTATTCCAAGGTCACCCTTCTCCTGGGCATCCAACTTTATCTTGTCCATACTTCTTCCTGTATTTACAAAGACATAATCAGGTTGGAAACCGTCAAAACAAACTCAGCAATGAAATTTCATTATACTTCTTACATGACGTATTGATTGTGTAGTGCATTTCTTACATAATTTATCATTTTTCCTATCTACATTGTATCAGTTACTGAAATTTATACCTGTTTCTATAAAATGTATTTCATATCATAATTAGGCTATCTAATTGCTTCCAAGAAAAACTTCATTAGCCTGGGCCTCTTGGTTATTCAGAAGAAGTGGTTTAAAGTAAAAAGTTGATGAAGGATGGATGACGCCCCATGGCACAAGCTCACTTGGCAAGGAGGGCTAAAACCTATCTCTGCTTCCTAGAAAGAAACCAATTTCAGAATTTGTTTTAGTTGTGTTGACCTGTGGACTGAGCGATGGCCTTCATGAGGACGGTTTCCCCGATCCCCAGCTCCACGCCCTCGTAGGCTGGGGCCAGCTTGTTGAGGCACAGATACACACAGAACAGAAGATCATCGGGGCTCAGGGCAATCACAGAACGGAAAAAATTACACAGGATATCAACGATCTTCAACCTGAAACATAAAAAGATGATGGTAATATATATATTTTTTAACCAGGCAAAAAATTTCAGATTTTCAAGATATACACCAAACTTTCAAACGACAATTACAGTATTTACAATGTTTTCAAGCGACACGTTAATAAAAAATCATAATCTAATAGCTGAGACAGATGAATAGGTCATGTAAAGCTAGTACAGCATTCTCTGTCTAAACCAGGCAACAACTGTATAGATAATTCTGTCTGGAATAGACAGGGTTTCAGGTTAAACAGTGAATTAACATAAAATTACAAATAATGGTCTGGGAAAAGCACTGTTTAAGACTGTTTTTAAGTTGAAAGAGTTCATTGTAGACAAAGTGTTCTACATCATATCATATCTATGACAACAGTCAAGTATCATTAACATAAACTTACTGTTTGTATGCACAGTAATTAATAGTACGGAGTGTTTGTGGCATATACACAAACCTAATTCGTGTGACATTTCCTTTTCTACTGGTCACCTCTTTTTATAGTTTAACTCATTCACCCCTGAAGACACATTTGAACTCTTCCAATTCAAAGGTGAATGAGTTAAATGATTATAAGTTCATGCACCCCTTATGAATGACATGATGTTCATATTAACCCTTTCACCACTGTAAACCAAAATGGACTCATCCATATCAATGCGTGGTATGGTCTACTAAAGTTACATAGGGGTGAAAGGGTTAAGGCCAAGTTGTTCACTATTTTCATGCTCATTTGTGAACTCCTGTTCGTATAGAACCAATTTTTGTGTCTTGGCTAAAACATATTGCAAGAATATCAAATTTGCTATTTTAATGGCCAAAAAGGACTGATTTCTTTAGATTCCATAGGTTCATTATAAAAGTGCCTTATTGAAAATGTTTTCTTCAATATTGTTCAGAACAGCACGGTTTCTATAGCTTTCATGTTACTGCGGAGCAAATGACATGATGTTAGACGTCCTTCTAGCCGGTGTTTGGTGTGGAATATTTCTGAAGGTTTAATTAGACAGAAGTAAGCTAAAAAGGATTGCCCAGACCTACTGATATATCACATATAAATCTGTCTGAGATTTGTCATCTATAAATGAATGTCTGAACCTATATGCCAGACATCCTGATGTTGTGTCGACGCCCACACTTCCATTACCAGCCCTAGCTAAGTGCTAACCAAGATCATGGACAAACAGCCTCACATCTTTGGTGTCAGTAACTATTTTATAACATCCACGTAACTCTGGTATATCACTAACTGCCTAACAGTTGTTTTCAAATGTTTTTGATACTGGGCCCGATTGTTGGGAAAATACTGCAAGAGTACTTTTTTTAGTGTCTTCAAATTTTAGCACATTATCAAATTTTAACAGATTAGCACATTGCTGAATTGGGGCACCCACAAAACATGCACAAGATTTTTTTCCCCCAAAAAAACTTCCAACTGATGCAATCATAACTTAGCGGAGTAATTAAACTGCGATATGAGATAAAATTAGACTACCTCTACAATATGTAGGTAACTTGGGTCCATGTTGTTTTGCATCTAGTTAGCTAATTTGCTTATGTCATAGACAAAAACTAACATACAATTTTTTTTTGAGAGGGAGACAAAATTAGGGAAGGGGCTTAATCAAAGGCACCCATCCTGTTCCTAGGTCATTTGCCAAAGTTGGGAGGTGACTTATTTGCGGTCAAACACGGTAACAGTGCACTGACCAACATGAATAATGGAAATTATTAGAAAACTATGAAATGACAATTCCACCTTTTCATTAGGAACAAGAAGAAATAGATCCAAAGGATATTTCTACATATTCATTGAACACAAAATGTAGATGTACAGATTTACTACATATCTCAACAACTTGGAGCTTTAAAGTGACTATACGGCAGGTTTATATATATACCTTGCAGATATCTCTTCAATAGCTTCAAATGTCTTGGCCAGTGCAAGATATGGTACTCTGAAATGGAAAAACATGTACAGTGTATAATTATAAGCTTACCAAAGCCATATCAACTCATTCACCCCTGACATTATATAATGAACTACCCAAACCTCTGAATTGGAAGAGTTTAAATGTGTCTTCAGGGGTGAATGAGTTAAAAGACTTTATAAACTCGTATGTAAAACCATTATGATGCACCTATTGTTTACACATGAAGCGTGCATGAATACCATTTCCGATGTATAAATATAGTAACTCACCAATACTTAACATTTCTCGGTAATCATTAAAATATAATTTTTGTTTGAACTTACGAAAGCACATCTGCATCTTTATGTACTGTTCTGTTTTAACCACAGAAATCACATCTGTGAGTAAGTTATTTATAAATATATTTCAGAGAGAGATTAAATATATTTCAGAGAGAGATGCTAACTGTGGGATTATATTTATACAAGACTGTGTCTTTATTGCCAGATGTTCCTTACCACAACAAAACTTTACGTAATACATTCCTAATGGACAATAAAACCATAAATAAAACAACTAAATTTGAAATAGGAATTCAAGATTGAATTATAATTAGTTTGCATTGTGTTTGGTTTTGCCGTTAGTGGTTTTCGTTTCACATGTTTTAAAGTTTTCACTATTCATACCACCATAGCTAAAGGTAGCTACGAAGTGGCAAGTGCTGGTAATATATATATTTTTTAACCAGGCAAAAAATTTCAGATTTTCAAGATATACACCAAACTTTCAAACGACAAATTACAGTACATTGTATTAACAATGTTTTCAAGTGACACATTAATAAAAAATCATAATCTAATAGCTCAGACATATTTACAACTTTTACTTCAGATGTCTTCAAATCTTTAAAACACCCACAAACTAAGAAAATATTTGTAAAACATACACATGATCTTGTTTTGATGGATATAAGAAATGAAAGGTATAAGCTGAAAAATGGAACTAACACAAAGTCTAACCTAAGTGAGTGGAACCACAAGAGATTGGTTACAGTGACCTACACTTGTATCACATCTACTATAACGCTAGCATTATTCGGAACTATATTTGAGGACAGCTTAATCCTAAGATTACGGAAGATTAGTTACCAGGTACATACTTTTCTTTAGGTTTCCAACAAGCATCATCAATCGGGTGGTAGCGTGATTTACTTGGGTGGTAGGTGGAAGTCTCTTCCTTCTTACTACCAAACGGGTTTATTTTACTGAAATGGAAAGACAGACAAATGTATTGACCTCCAAACATCTTAACAATCACAATAGAAATGCAACAGAAAGCATTAAGGATAATGACATGTATTCATTTCTTGGTTTGTATGTACTTTAAGAAGTTCTAGAAGTATGTGTACCTCAGCAACCTACTAAATATACCCTTGGAAGTGTCTTGTATGTCATTATTTATGTTTACTTGAGTTCCTGTATAAAATGACTAGACATCTGTTAAAAGATATTAAACATCGACACATTTCCAACATATTTTTAAAAGACAATATCAAGTACCTACAGTACATTTTAGTTCTACAGCTAAGCCTGAATATAAGGCCTCTTTTTTCATTTACAACCTGGGTCACCTCCAATCACCTCTTAAATGATGCCTTAAAAACATTTATCCCTCTCCTCTTTTTTCATCCTTTTTTGTGACGCATTGTTGTTATTTTCATTAATTAGCATCCTCCAATGATGTGACATGAGCATTTACGTGCAGAATGGCAATCGGTGAATGGGTAATAAAGATGGTACTCCTTTTATTTTTATTTATTTTTTATTCATATTAATAATAATTATTAATATATGAAGTGACTTTACTTACTGTCATTGAGTATACAATTCATCACAAAATCTCACAAATGTTCTTAGAATATATTTGAATTACATTTCTCAATGCGACTTTACCAACGTAAGAGTTATTTCCCTTACACCAGATTGGATAATATTTTGACACAGCGCGAATTCTTGTCAAACAGCAGCGGCAGATGCGTCATGTTCTTAAATTGTTACATTTTCATAAATAAATACACCAGAAATAGCATGCGGTGTACAGAAATGTTTGGTAAGCATACACAGTTCACCTATCGTCTCGTGTCAGAACCACGTCCGTGATAGCAACGATGGTTTATTACCTAAGCACGATATGTCATATTACGTTCCCATTTGAAACATAAAAAAAGAAGTTATACTTCATCACTCATACGGTTTAGAAGTATATATATTTACTTCTTCCTTGTACTATAAAAAGCTAGACCGTACAGACAACGTCAACTCAAATCAGAGTCGCGAAAACAAACACTCCTCAGAACTGATAAAACGCTCAAACCAAGTGCACGAATTTCACCACGAGTTAGAACTCGTAGAATGCACCGGAGATAAACATTTTGTTTTCAGCAATTATTTGAAGTATGGATTATTATTTGGAGAAGAGTATCAGAAGACTTTATGTAACCCACAGGTGAGTGTCAGAGATTCTACTTTTTATTTACGATAACGAAAATATATAGCAGAAGCATACAAGACTGAATTATGCGCACGCACCCAGAACGGAAGTGGGTCCGTCATTTCGTTCTCTGGACAGAATCAATAAGCCGCTCGGCTCTCGCAGAGAGCGGCTTAAAAACAAGAAGATAACAACCAAAATTTAATACTAAATCAAGATTATAGTGTAAAATTTGCCTCCATGATGTCAATAAATTCAATCAGCCAGCTATCATTGGTTGTGCCTCTGAAACTCATTTATGGCCATTTTTTCCCCCTGAGAGATGCATGTATATGTTATCAACAAATTATGCAATTATTAACCTTTCATAAGGTCAATGCAAGGATTTATCCATCCGCCAAAAAAATGAAATTATAACTCATAAAGCTTACCTCCATCCACAGAATATTAATCTCATCATGATAAATACCCATGACAAACTTTCATCAAGTAACGTTTAATGAGAGTGACTTGAACCTTGTTATGACCTTAGGTTCTGTTTGTATTCCAAAGCTAGCTGATTCTTTCCCCCCTCAGTTAGTTTTTTCCCTGGGGGAAGAAATCAGCTAGCTAATTCTTTCCTCCCACCCCATATTATTATTTTTTCCCCGAGGAAGAAATCTGCTAGTAAATGCTCCCCTCGTAGTGTTTGTTAATGGGGGATATTGGTGACTAGCCAATACTTTTCCTACTCTGTATTAGTTATTAGGGGGGAAATTATTGTCTAGCTGATTCTTTCCCCCTCTCTGTATTAGTAACCAGGGGGGGAACTATTGGCTAGCTGATTCTTTCCCCCCTCTCTGTATTAGTAACCAGGGGGAACTATTGTCTAGCTGATTCTTTCCCCCCTCTNAACTTGAGTTCCTGTATAAAATGACTAGACATCTGTTAAAAGATATTAAACATCTACACATTTCCAACATATTTTTAAAAGACAATATCAAGTACCTACAGTACATTTTAGTTCTACAGCTAAGCCTGAATATAAGGCCTCCTTTTTCATTTACCACCTGGGTCACCTCCAGTATCAGGCTACACCCCCCTCCCCCATTTAGCAATTCCTTTACTGTGGTCTCCCTCCATATATCAATACCCCGAAGTTTTCGATGGACCATTATGATGGTAGTATAATAAGGACTTATTATTTATGCAGTGAGTCTAAAATATGAACGTAGGATTTCAATTATTTCAGTGTCAACCATTCACATATGTAGGTCATAACAGACTAGTTGGCCTGTACTTTTTCCAGTATAACACTGTAGATGATGAGCAACTTGATTTCTATGTAGCCTCAACCACCACCATCACTACGATTGATTGAATCTGTAAGACTCTTCCATCAAATCAACATATGTCAAATTTCAGATAATTTAAAATCATGAGAGCACAAAATCATTCCTGGAAAATCCCCGGTCGTTGCTGGGGTATGATGTGGAGCAGATCTCGGCTAACGCTACTCCAGTTCACAGTATCCGACATCGGGAAGATGAGTCGAACATCACAAAATCACGGTAAAACTAGAATTATGTCAGTGTGACATTAAAGCCGCTCACCACTTTTAAATTTGATTGCTTCAGCATCAATATCTACTATAATACCTCAAATATGTGTTCTGTATTCTGCTAATTGAAAATCAGGTCATGTGATGAAGTTGCCTTTGGAATTTCCAAAATCAATCACCTCTTAAATGATACCTTAAAAACATTTCTCCCTGTCCTCTTTTTTCACCCTCTTTTGTGACGCATTGTTGTAATTTTCATTAATTAGCATCCTCCAATGATGTGACATGAGCATTTACGTGCAGAATGGCAATCGGAAAATTGGTAATAAAGATTGTACTCCTTTTATTTTTATTCATATTAATGATAGTTATTAATATATGAAGTGACTTTACTTACTGTCATTGAATATACAATTCATCACAAAATTTCACAAATGTTCTTGGAATATATTTGAATTATATTTCGCAATGCGACTTTACCAACGTAAGAGTTATTTCCCTTACACCAGATTGGATAATATTTTGACACAGCGTGAATTCTTGTCAAACAGCAGCGGCAGTTGCGTCATGTTCTTAAATTGTTACATTTTCATAAATAAATACACCAGAAATAGCATGCTGTGTACAGAAATGTTTGATAAGCATACACAGTCCGCATATCGTCTCGTCTCAGAGCCACGTCCGTGGTAGCAAAGATGGTTTATTACCTAAGCACGATATGTCATATTACGTTCCCGTTTGAAACATCAAAAAAGAAGTTGTACTTCATCACTCATACGGTTTATAAGTATATATATTTACTTCTTCCTTGTACTAGAAAATATAAAAAGCTAGACCGTACAGACAATGTCAACTCGAATCAGAGTCGCGAAAACAAACACTCCTCAGAACTGCTAAAACGCTCAAACCAAATGCACGAATTTCACCACGAGTTAGAACTCGTAGAATGCACCGGAGATAAACATTTTGTTTTCAGCAATTATTTAAAGTATGGATTATTATTTGGAGAAGAGTATCAGAAGACGTTATGTAACCCACAGGTGAGTGTCAGAGATTCTACTTTTTATTTACGATAACGAAAATATATAGCGGAAGCATACAAGACTGAATTATGCGCATGCACCCAGAACCGAAGTGGGTCCGTCATTTCGTTCTCTGGACTGAATCAATAAGCCGCTCGGCTCTCGCCGAGAGCGGCTTAAAAACAAGAAGATAACAACCAAAATTGAATACTAAATCAAGATTATAGTGTAAAATTTGCCTCCATGATGTCAATAAATTCAATCAGCCAGCTATCATTGGTTGTGCCTCTGAAACTCATTTATGGCCATTTTTTCCCCCTGAGAGATGCATGTATATATATGTTATCAACAAATTATGCAATTATTAACCTTTCATGAGGTCAATGCAAGGATTTATCCATCCGCCAAAAAAATGAAATTATAACTCATAAAGCTTACCTCCATCCACAGAATATTAATCTCATCATGATAAATACCCATGACAAACTTTCATCAAGTAACGTTTAATGAGAGTGACTTGAACCTTGTTATGACCTTATAATAGGTTCTGTTTGTATTCCAAAGCAATATACTGTATGCCGGGATTTTTTTTGCCGCACTTTAGCTTTGCGCCATTTTTTGCCCTCCGTAATTAATGATGGTAAATTTATCTTTAGACCGAACATAAGTAAACAACATGATGAATATAACAGTCAAAAGTGAAAGGTAAAATTAACACAGAGCGAATACAGACTTCACCACCATAGGGCGAAAGTTTGATTGGGCGAACATTTCCTGGTTTACACTGGCTGCTATGGAAAAAAAATATTGTGATTTTAAATGTCAAGTGTTGAGAACATATGAGGAATACATAAAGACCATAGAATATCCTGTTCATTACTGCTGGTTACAGGAAGCTGAGAGCCTTGTGGATCATAATATTGGTGAACTTTTGTCTTTTACCAGACCTATCTTGGTTCCCATTACAAGAATTAATGATGACAGAAAATGTGTCTGACTCTTTGTGTGTAACCACTAAAACTAATTTGTTTCTGTAGAAATAAGAACCTATTACAATGCTACCACAATGCAAACAGCTGTGTAAGTAAATGTCAACTTCCTGCTGGATTCTTTATATAAAATTTCAAATGATTTATTACTGGTTCATATAGCAAAACAAGTGACATGTTTTTGTAACATTTTGATAGTCCTAGACTCTAGAACGTATGTACTCTGTACTCACTTATATCAGACAGAAACCAGCAAAACATACGTACTCTTAGGCGTTAAAAATGTACAAGATGCATTTCTGTATGTAAGCTTTGACTGGCTGTTTGTCTATGAAGATAGCAGTACACATGTTTCATCAAAACATCACACATAAACCTTTCATTGGTTATAATTATACAATATGAACTTGAAAACAATATTTTTCAAAAAACCTGAATAAAATATTTTTTTAAATTAAAGCTCAAACTAATTCCAATGTTAGATGTACTTTTTTTGTCCTACATAGATTAGAAAATAAGGAAACGAAAAGATAAACGAGGAGAAACAATGAGAAAGACTGCAGAAGGAATGAAAAGGGACACAGAAATAAAAGCTATAAGCAGGTGAATCAATGGAGTGTTATAGAGGGCAAGATGAAGGGAGAGAGAAAACTATTTGTATTATAATCAATACACTCGGTAATCAGCTGGTAATGGCCATTTCCACTGGACCTCACACTCAAAATCTTCACCCCGAAAATAAAGGTCAATACACAATAATAAGGTAATGAATCTTCCATCACACATCTGTCAGCCACTTTATAGATTACAACCTACAACAAATTTCTTCTGAGAGGAAATGTTTCTTTTGTCTGGCCAAAATAATTTACATTGTACAAGTACATACAGATTCTAAATGTCTATGCCTATATCAAACAACAAACAACATGCCCAAGAGAACTGAATTGCTCCCGTATTATTTAATGGTTTCAGCAAAATATTCGATGCCAAAATGCTTTTCAAATTATATTTGAAATGAGCACATTTGACCCTTGTGACCTTGCGTTTGGTTTAAAGTCATTTACTTCAACTGAATGCAACTGAAAAGCACTTTAATCTTTCAAACTACACCTATTTCTGTAGAAAAATGAGCTAACATATTTGACCCATTACCTTGAAAGTGGGTCAATGTATATATATTTGAACAAACTTAATAGCCCTTAATCCCATCAATCTACAGTCTAAAAAATATCGTTCCTAAGTGTTACGAGATTCGTTAGATGATCCTTAAATATTTCCAACATATTTCTACCTTGTGACATTGAATATGGGTCGAAGTCATTTGTTTGAGCAAAATTGATAACTCTTCATCTCAGCAAGCTATAGGCCAAATATCATGACCCTTGGCCTTAAGATTTTTATGAAGAAGCTGTTTAAAAACTAGAAAACATCAGTAATACATGCTCCTTTGGCCCTTTAGTTGACCTATAAACAGCAAGTGACCTTGGCCTTGACATTGGGACTCTGAAATATGAACTCATCCAAACTTGACCTTTGTAAAACACTTTAAAGAAAATCTGTTTAGAAATGAAGTGGGTAGATTCCTACACAACAAAATGGAAAGGGCATCTGTAATACTACCTATGTACCATGTGAACTGAAACGGTAGAAACACACGTTTAAGTAACTACATCATTATATCATTTTGAAGCCTTCTTTTCCAATACAATTTGAAATGTATTTGAAATTAAATGATTTGTGGAAGAATGTTTTAGAAGAGATAGAAAAATGATTTTATTCCATGCATTTGTGACTGTTTTACATAAAATGTGTTTTATATCTTGAGGCAAAGTTTTAGCCGTTTGTTGATAACATAATGAAAAGCTAAAAAGCACTCAGGTTTTCGAAAACATTTTTTTTTGTATTACACAAATAACTTTAAGGCAACATATTTAATCAAATAGATCAACAGAAATGGAAATATCCAGTCATTAATTCTAGCTGTATGCAGTTTGAGATACGGCATTAAATTTGTGTAAACAAGATACAGAAAAATACATTTTTAAATGGAAGACATCAGATGCTTAAAGTGATTGCTGTGTAGGATAAGATAGCGGACAGATACCAGAGAGTGTGTTCTATACAGTGAGGCCGTGGTGTAACAAACCTATTAGCTGTACACTCAGTATCAATAGAGTTTTACACACAGTTAGATATCAATTTTTGTAAGTAATAACCACCATCACAAACAGCTTCAGTAATATCACCTTCACTGGTTCACAGCACCAGGCTGCTGACATACACATGGAACAAAGGAGGCTGGTGGGTAACCAGGCATTTCATCAAGAATCTTTTCAATTCTATACAATTCAAATTTTATTCATGAAGATTTTATTCACGCTGATAATAAACTTATATCCCATATCTATCAATGATCACCTATGAAATAATGGCAGGCTTTTGACATTTCAGCAAGATATGAAGGAAATAAATAAAATACAAACTGAATTTTAACCAATATACCAGTAAACTACCTCATATGTAGCTAAGCTTTTTCTTCACTGAACATACCAGGAAATAGTAAATATGTACTGTTATTTGTTTTTGTAATGCTTACTTGCAATTCTGTGATATAATTTAAGTATTTCGTCTTTAACCTTTAATTAGCACAAAACTGATTTGGAGTGAGAAATAAACTAAACAAAGAATTAAAAATCACATAACTCTGTCTTGAAAGTTAAATTCACACGCAGACAATATCAGGAAATCGCTCCCCCCTCCCTCTTCCATCTCCTGAAATTCTTGGGACACATTCTAATTCGGAGATGTGTTACTGTCACCAACCTGACTGGCTACCGATGAATACGACGGAACCAGTCCCCCATTAATTCTCCGACCACATCTCTATCCCATTACCTGAGATAGCTGGCTGATAGACCATTCATATACAGCACGTGAGATTGACTTTTTTCTCTGCCTAATTTCTCTGTATTAGTTCTGTCCTTGGACGAGATTCCTTCAGCTTTGTACCAGACCAGCTAATTTGTATGGAAAAGTTACAATGACAACAGTTCAATGGCACTGTTATTTTCTCCCTATAAATGTCATCAACTCGGATAATTTGTACAGACTATGACCAATGTGGGGGCAATTTCAATCAAATCTGACAGACACGGGGAAAGTTCCTCAATCTCATCCCCGAACACCTTTCAGCTGTGTTTTGGTCCATCACAGAAATCACTTAATTCCCCATTACCTTATTTTGTGTGTGACTGAAATTTCAGAAAAATATATCAACAATAATTTAGAAAGTGTGTTTGCTAGTTTGTGATAGTAATCAGTGTCGGAATACTCCAGTGGCGAGAGATACAGCCAGCCCACCAGCCATTCAGCATCTGTCAGCTTTGTAAGACTCTGGTGATAATCAGAACGCTAGCTAGCACCGTCAGTAGTACTGGTCCGTAGTGTTGTCACACAGGTATACCGAGTAGTGATAATCTGTACGACAGATAGGTACTGTCTGTACTGGAGTGTGGTCACATCGAGCGGATGATACCTGTTAATCAGGTAGGAAATGACACAGATCACAGGATGATGTGCTGTAACATCCAGGCAGGTCATCTTGACATGAATAGGTAAGTCTAATTCCTCATTCGTACTATAATATTTGACTTCATAAAATCTCTTTATTATGTGTTGTGAACCCCCTTTTTTGCGATCATTTTCTAGTTCCTTGGTTGTGTACTTCTAAATACTTCAACTCAAAAATATTAACCTTGCTTATCTTGGGGGGGTTATCCATAAGACTTTGACAAAAAATATGCGATAAAGGTTTTAAGATATTTTCAAGATGCAAAACCTGAAATCATTAGCATATTTCTGATGTCCTTAGAATATTCATTTTTAATCCTTTTCTACAAATCATTTGAACAATTTTATCGTTTATATTTATGTGTAGCAATTTTTCAAAACATTTTTACCATAATGGATTTTGTGAAAAAAAATCACAAATTGACAATCGACTTACCAAACGAACTGGTACTTATAACAGATATATATTTAAATTCTGTTTTTTTATGCCAATCTTTCCATAAGAAAATAAACCTCTGTTTTGTACATTTAATATATGTTCTATCAGAGGATATTTTTTTGAAATTGTGTTCAGTTAATACATAAATGCCCTTAAGATTAGATATCCAACACGACTCTCATTACAAAACCTGTTCTATTACTTTCATTGAAAATACTATGAAATTATTCAAGGCATGCTCAAAGGTCATGGATTTATTCTAGACAGTTGCCATGGTAACGATGTATCTTAAGGAAAATTAATCCGAGTCCTGTTCTGAAGGAATGATCACCTGCAGACATGAAGTCTCACATTTTCTTTCCTTTACTTACCAATGTAGTGCATTGTGTTTCATTTTAAGCACTGAACTGAAAGCAGTTCAATATTTATCTCATAGAAAAATTCAATTGCATTTATTACTAAACAGCATTTAGTTCAAATAGTGTATTCATTGTTATGCTTTGATCAATGAACAGAACAGCCATATGTACAGAGAGGGAGAAATGTATCCAATGTAACAATTATGATGTCATAAAAAATAATGACGCCGTCAACATGAATGCCACCTGAATGTGGCAGTGCTATATAGTGGCAGTGCTATATAGTGGCATTGCTATACAGTGCTATATAGTGGCATTGCTATATAGTGGCAATGCTATACAGTGGTAGTGCTATATAGTGGCAGTGCTATATAGTGGCAATGCTATATAGTGGCAGTGCTATATAGTGGCATTGCTATACAGTGCTATATAGTGGTAGTGCTATATAGTGGCAATGCTATATAGTGGCATATATAGTGGCAATGCTATATAGTGGCAGTGCTATATAGTGGCAATGCTATATAGTGGCAGTGCTATATAGTGGCATTGCTATACAGTGCTATATAGTGGCATTGCTATATAGTGGCAATGCTATACAGTGGTAGTGCTATATAGTGGCAGTGCTATATAGTGGCAATGCTATATAGTGGTGGCAGTGCTATATAGTGGCAATGCTATATAGTGGCATTGCCACATGATGATAAATAATTGGGTATTATCACTTTGACCACTTTTGTACCATAGGAAAATCTGCGATGATACAAATTTACCTCATTGTAAAATAATCACATATAAGGATGATTTAGTGTGTAAATTATCACGCTTCTGTTTTGTTTACGAAGATAAGTAGACTGGGAACCCTGAGTCACAGCGACCTACATCTGATGGATTGTGTAGTACCAAAGGACATATGCATTCACCCAATTATCCATACACTTCAGGACCTTCAACATATTGTGATATGTATTTATTATGTATTTTATTATTAAAAGACTTCAGAACCTTCAATATAATGTGATATGTATTTATTCTGTATTTTATTATCAAAATACTTCAGAACCTTCAATATAATGTGATATGTATTCCTTAAAAGTGTTCTACACTAAGAAACCTAAAAAGTTGTCTTTAACGATCAACAATTTAAGGCTTGGTTAATTAACTGACTGTGTTTTTTCAGATATTGATTAAAACTCTTGTTTATAAGATAACCCACAGAACGTGACATTTTCTGCCAGGCAAGTCTACCAGCAAATTATAGATTCAATGACTTCAAATCTCAAGGAATTCCAACCTTAATCACCACCATATCATTCCCTCCTGGAAATGTAGTTTTCCTCTTCATAGCTGACCATTGATGGCTCTTAATGGCACCCAATAATGCAAATAATAGTACTGCCATAATACAAAATTGTTCCCTTATACTGCCATAACGAGACGTGCTCCCTTTTACTGCCATCACAAGACATGCTCCCTTATATGTACTGCCATGATAAGATATGCTCCCTTATACTGCCATCACAAGACATGCTTCCTTATACTGCCATCACAAGACATGCTCCCTTATACAGCCACAAGACATGTTCCCTTATACTGCCATCACAAGACATGCTCCCTTAAACTGCCACTACACATAACACAGTTTAAGGCATTACTCCCTTTTAATTATGTAGACATGATCCCATTTATAACAAGACATAAAACATGCTCTTTTATATAATTCATCCCATCACCTGTCTTTGATACAATTTATTTATCAGTGGAAATATTATCACAAACTCAAATTTACTGGCAACACATGCACTTGATTGACCAATGAAATGAATTGTTTGATCTGATTTGTAAATTTCAACTGGCAACTGCACGGATGTCCCTACACATCTTTGTGTACATGTCATTGTCTTTAAGGATCCCTTGTGCCACTGTTGGTCCAGAACACTACTGTTGACTAGCTAGCTCAGTCGGTTAGAGCGACAGTATAACAGGTTGAGGTTCAGGGTTTGAATTCTAGTCCAGCCACACTGACTTTTTACACACTGAATACTATTGTTGTACATTTTGTCTCAATTTTTTTCCATTAAAGTCTCAAAAGGTATAAATATCTTTTAAGAAATGATTTATCAAAGCTATAGTCATGACGGGAAAATATGTGATTTTTATGCAGTTTAAGTTTTTGGCAGTGGAACAGGGATCCTTAAATTCATACTCAGATGTGTTAAAATTGTTCACTTTTTTTTAACTGCATGATTTTCATATCTAACTACCGGGTATACATATAGTGTTCTGAGGAATCAAAATGCCAGTACAGGGAAATTACACGACTGTTTCCATGACAAAGATCATCATCATCACTTTACTGGTGCTAATTTGACCTTTTTATCTCCGAGGTGCTAAGTCATCTAGATCTGGCGGAGCTTTAATTAACACTGGAGATTATTGGATTGGTGATTGACATATGACTTAATACACGGGTAAAGGATGAGGACACTACAGCTAATATCAGGATATCAATAATCTTATAAAACCCTGTCAATTTTTTGTCACGTGTAACCATGGCAACATTAACACACATCACTAAGTATTGCATGGTTAAATTTGGTAATCTGATTTGACAATTCCTGCACTTATCACATCTGGTTATGAAAAAAACCTTTTAATAATAAAAGTAAAATCATTATATTTCTTTAAAGTGAAATATCAACTTAGACAAGTGTTTGTGAATAATGTATTGCTTTTTTTTCTAATTAGCTGGTTATATATGCATATAAACAGAAAAAAATGTGCTCAAAACTCAATAGATGTTTAAGAACAGATATTTTTAAGAAGCTTTTATTTTTTTCATTTAAAATAATGTACATGTTTTTACAAAGGTTTCTGATCAATATCGGTTTTAAAACCTTCGTAAAAACTTCAATCTCGGTTTCAATGCAATGCTCAGTGAGGACAACTTTACAAGGATGTCCCACAGACAGATTGAAGAAGAAGTATATATCCCATTAGATCATCATAAAATGATTATTCTCAGTGTGCGCTCTGTGTTGATGTAAAAAGCCATCAACACAACACAGCGGTGGTGGGGGGTCGGGAAGGGGATAAACTAGGAGAGCTGTACACCTCTTTAGAGCTATATTACGATGGTGTACAGCTAAACATTAGTCTGACCCAGACTCTATCCAATGTCAAAACATTTTCTTGAGAGAGACCAAACCTAAGGAAGCAAACAAAGCTCACAATATCCCTTCCCCTCCCTCTTATCACTGCCTGCCATATCCCTGCACTTGGTAAGATGGAAAGGCATCACTGGATTTGTTACTTCATGGTTTATGTAGCTAAGTAAGAAATTGTACCCGTCGTTCATGAAGATAATCTAGGAATGACAGGTCTGTAGATTTTGACACTTTGTATAAAACATTATCATTGTGTAAAGAGTTATAACTGTGATAATCATAATAAAGATTAAGTTAAATTAACAGAGACTTTGAACTTTGGTGAACAAGCACTAACTCATTTGAGATAGCAGGGATTAATGCAGGATTAGAAACTTTTTTAGGGGAATTAAAATATGGAGGGGGGCATGGATGGCATCTTTATTTTTTAATCTCCCTGTTCATTATAGGCGCTTTGAATCAGTCTGTAAACAAGGCCTGCCATAAATAGTGTCGTAAAATATCGACAGTGACAACATAAACACAGGGAAAATGAGATAAATCACTTGGGTCGTCGAACCGACGGAAAATAAAAACACAATAGTACCATCACAAATATTCCATTGGTAGTATTTTAGTTACATGTGGGGAAAGTTTAACTGTAGTAGGGGAAAATAATGTCAAAATTGGAGAAGGAAATTGGCTCATAGTCGGCCATAAAAAAGGCCTGTATATATCCATGGGTAGGATGGTACTTGAATACAAATATAAATGAGCCTTCTAGTTTGACAATGGCTCCAAAATACTAATTGTTTTGAAGCATACTCTAGCTTAACACTTTCACTAAGATTGGCCAAAACATGATTATTATAAAGAGGTTTACAAAGCAATGACAAGAAATGTGTCTATGTAGTTGTTGAACTCGGAGCATCACTCTTGGTCTTAGTGTGGGAGGAAACCGGGGTACCCGGAGAAAACCCACGTTGTCAGGCAGGTGACCCCATACCTTTTCACGTCCGATCGGGGAATCGAACCCCCGGACGCCTTGGTGAAAGGCAAGTGCGCTATCCACTGCACCACCTGACCACCCCTTACTGTTGTTAGAGATATCCAAAAATCTTAACAGGTAAAACATACACAAGGAGCTGTAATAAATATATATAAGATACTCAACACAAAGGTTCATGCCCAGGCTTTGAGTCATTAGCACAAGAAAGAAAAATACAAAAACATTTTTATGGTCGTACTCAACACAAAGCTATACACATACTTAAGGAGCTAGAATATACCTAACTCAGTTTTGTGTGTGATCTTATTTAATTTAGGAAATAGAAAATGTGTGAAGTGGTTTATGTGATACCCATCACCGTAGATTACAGTAAAGTTTAGTTGGAATTACATCGAGGTTTAGGTGGAGTCCAATTATGTAACAAGATGTATTTGTAGAAGGTGGCTCCTCAGTAGTAAACCATTCACAAACTAATTACGTGCAGAATAACACTGACACTTGCTAGTGATTAGTGATTTAGTTACACTCCCGGGGGGGGGGGGGGGGGGGGG